TTTTATTTTTAAAATAAACACACACACACATACACACAAGAGAATTTGCTTATAAAGTCAGAGTGCACTCAAGTATATTGTTGGCCCAGTTGAATTAGAATAATTTCTTTTGACTTAGGAGTGTGCCTCTTGGCTGAGTAACTATGAATATATCCAATGTCTCCTAGTAATCGAATAGGTTTCCCTCACAGTTGTGGTGTACATGGGGTTCCTGAGGCTGAGAGACAGAAACCCATGACTTTTTCACTCAGAAACTTCCCTTGAATCCTTCACAAACACTTTCTTTTCTTTCTGTGGCAGCTTTGGACATTCTCATTGGAAATGTCCTTGTAATAATCACAGTGGTCTGGATCTAAAAGAGAGTGATGTTCTCCTCACTGAGGCCCTATTCCCTTCTCCTTTTTTCCTCCCATCCCTGACTGAGCCACTCCCATGTAAGCTGCCAGTAACACTCTCATCTGATCTTCCTGAAGTCTCCACTTTTTGTCCTCTCTGTTATAGAACACCTTTAGAGCCACCTCAGTTAAATGTATCATAATCATTCCTGAAAACCCACCCAGTTTCTGTAACCTGCAGTCTATATCAGGGGCCAACTGGGTAATGAAAACCATATTAACAGTGCACGAATTCTTGGGTGCCTTCGTATGAACAGTGTATATATCCAATAGGTCTAAAGGAGGTGCTCAAGGAATGTGGTGGGGCTTTCAGCTCTCCCCTGATGCACCTTGACCACTTTGTTTAAATTTGTAGGGCAACAGGTAGCCACAAGTAACCTTTTTCTCAAAGCCTGATGGTGGGCTTCCAATTGCTGTATCCCTTCCACAGTGTTATGATCCCAATTAGGGAGTCCCTGGGCATAACATGAGCTACTGCCTCTGTTTTCTCCTGTTCAGTTCCTTCAGTGTCTAATCTCACTTGATCCTCAGTCATATTCTAACTTCTTTCTCTTTCTTGAAGAAAATAGGGTTAGCAATATCTGTTGACAGTCATCTCAAGTAGGGTGGTGAGTTTTAAACACTGACTCCAGTAAGGTTGTCAGAGCCTGATGCTGTTCTGAAAAAAGGGAGATTCTGGGCTCTCCCATTATACAAGTCATTAATACTAAAAGGGGCATAAACCAAGACAGACTGATGATTTCCTCCTACCCCAGGAAAGGACACCTGTTGGAAGAGTAAAACAGGGACTTGGCCTGAAAAAGATACTTCCCAATCTGCTGAGGTGGGATCTGCCATGGGCTCTGGAGAGGGCTGCTGAAGGGAGTGGTGAGGAGACTGTGAGACAAGATAGGATGGTGATGGCATGGGAAGGTGGAGAGGAGTGGGATCCTCCTCCTCTGGGGCCAAGGGTAGCTCATGGGTGTTTCTATTTTAAGGACCTCTGTTTTGTCACCAGAACTCAATCTGAAAATCTAGGAACACATATTCTAAGCCACTGGCGTAAAGCCTAAACCATGCACAGCCAGGAATCCATATAGGGGAACTGGTCTGATGGCCAAGGTTTTCTGGTAACAATATCCCACAGCCTGCTGGTTACCTGAAGGTCAAGTGTTACTCCTCCACTCCACCAGCAGTCCAAACAAGAGTCCAAGGCCACAGTGAAATGAAACCACAAGCACATTTGGGAAAATGGAAAACACACAGACAAACAAAATAGTCCCAGGGATTATTTACTACTTCTGACCTTCAATTTGGAAAAATTTTAGAGTCTAGACCTGGCCAAATTCAGAGAGGAAACTCTGACCAAATTCTCAGCCATGCAGAGACTAAAAATCCATTGTGTCCACTGACAGAGCCCACACAAATTTAATCAAACATCAATCTGGGAAACAAGTCCCTGTATGAGCTCAAAGAAACCAAATTTAAATACTTCCTTAGGTCAGGAGGTGGGGCTTGGTTGTTGCATCTCACAGTCATGGTGTTCTGCCCCATAGTCATCTCAGAAGGCTGGATGAAATCAGCTGGGACACCCTGACACCTGAAGATCAACCACAAAGGCAAGAAGGCACAGGACCTCCTCAAACAAGGACCTTCCCTGTGAGAGATCTCACTTGGGCATCCAAATGTAATGGCTAATAGCAAGAAACACTCACAGAGGCTGAGATTGTACAAGCAAGCTTTATTTCAGCTCACAAGATGGTGATCAGTGACCACCAAAACACCAAAGAGCTGAGTTTTGTTCTCTGGAGTTTTATACATTAACAAGTTTCCAATCACCGTAGCAACTACATTCCAGGGGTTTCACAAGAAGGCCACAAGATTTACATTTTCCAGATGTTCATTAGTTAGGCAGGATGTGGTTCACCTTAGCTTCCCCACAATTTGTTTTATATATTGGTTCCTCTAGATAAAAGACTTCTTCCTCCTTTCATGGGTTTATGGTTAGCTAAAGGGAGGAGGGAGGAGTGAGTCTATCTATAGTTTAAGAGACTACTAAAATAGAGGCTAGAAACGAAATGGAGTCACGTCAGCCATGTCAAGACCACAATCATGCTCAGCAGGAACTTTTATCTTTGAGTTTTGGCAATTTTATTATCTTTTTTCTAATCATGGTTACTCTGAATTTTCCATGTGGCTTGGTAGAATTTCCAGATTGATACATCTATAACATTCATCACATTTAAATAAGTTTGTAGAAATGTTTTTTCCCAAATATTTTCCCTTTAACGTCTCCTCCTTCTTTTGTAAACGTTTAAGTTGTCAAAATAATTGTGCATTTCTAGGAACTGCTATGTATATTGCTTTGATCTTCGTGTACAATGGAGAAAACTGATTCTTGTTAATAGGCATATCTGTCATCTTACCAACTCACCTTTTCTTCTGCACTGAGAATATTAAAAACTATTCTTTAAATATTTTAAAATAGACATATTGTACACTATAGTCAGAAAAAATAGTTTTTTTTTAATTTTAGAAATTAAAGGAGGAAAATACTAACATACCGACAACATTTTACAAAATAGCATAGGATCAGTACAGACATTACAGAGTTACAAACAGAGTGATAGGGAATTAACAATGCTTATTGTATTACATATTGATATCTTCAATGTAGTTTCTCATGAAAACACATATAGACATACAAAGCTAATCAACCAATGACTCATTGACAGTTTCAGAAAAAATAGTTTTTAAATGTTGATAATTTACATTCCCAACAATTCCATTAGAGTCCCTGGGTTAGTGGAGATAGTGAGCATTTTTCATGTTTCTGGTGAATATTCATATCTTGCCTTCTGAGAAACAATTATTCAGATTCCTTACCCAGTTTGAACTGGATTATTTCTGAGGGTTTAGTTCCTTATACATTTAGAAAAATCACCAAATACATAAAATGTATTGTAAATATTTTCTCTGAATATATGCTCTGTCTTTATTTTATTATTTCCTTTACTGTTTCACTTTGATATAATTCCATTTATCAAGTTTTGGTTTTGTTACCTATACTTTTGAAGCCCTCTACAGGAAACTATTGTCCAAACCAATGAGGTAATGTTCACACATACTTACTTTTAGTTCCTTTACACTTTCATGTCTTACATTTAACCCTATGTTAATGCTATTTTGAGTTGATCTTTGAATTATGTGAGATGCGTTCAATTTCATTTATTTAAATCATGCATTTGTTCACTTAGAAATACAGGGCTGGGGATATAGCTCAGCAGCACAAGCACCTACCTGGCAAGTGCAAGGTCCTGAGTTTGATTCCCAGTATCAAAAATAAAAAAAAAAGAAATACAAGCATTCTTGAAGGAAAACTTACTACTCCCATCTCCAAGGCAGTGAATGATTACTTTTAGTGTCACCTGTGCAAATTTTAATCCCACCACATTATCTTCTTAAAGAGCATGCTTAGTGTTGTTTCTTCATTCTTATGGCATGTCTGCTCTTAAAATTTTGTGATTGTCCTTTCCTGACAGATCAGTTTCAATTGTCTGGGTTATCACTGGGTAGTATAGACTTTCAAATTTGTTAATATTTTGGTTACAGATAATTGTTCATATTTGAAATTGGTGATTGCCTTTATTTTTTAAACACCCTTATATTTAAATTAATGTATGTCTTTATCTAGAAGTGAGAATAGGAGAGTTGCACATTGGCCAGTCTGTCTTATCACACATAGCTAGCATATTGACATTATAAAAGTAAGGGAATAAGATTCTCAGACACAAAAGACACTAATAATATATTGTAAAAACTACCACTCTATGAGAAATGCTTAAAGAGTCATGTGTGCATTCTGTGTTGCTTCTAATATTTTTATAACACAACAATTTTAATGGTTGTACTTAACCTTTTAAAAAATGAAAATAAACCAAACTTTCATAGTATAATTGCCATACTATTAAAAGTGTATAGAACTAATTGAAATGAATGATTTTCAAGGGTGTAATATAAACATAAAAAATTAAAGATTTGATTTTATTCCATATTCTTGCTCATTAGTTTAATGTTTAATATATAGTATATGTACATAATTTTAATAAGTATATATGTATATATCTTATGGATTTTCATAAAGGTTTACAGATTTTTTTAAAAGAATGGATAATTAACCCTTTCATGTGAATATTATTGGAACAGGAGCCTCAGTTTTTTCAAACAGTTATAATGCTAATTATGTCTTATGTACTTGTCACCCACATACAGCAAATTAAATATGTTGAACAGAGAAAGCAGAAATATATACATTGCAGTGATCCAACAGAAATTCAAAGTATTTGCATATCTGAAAGAAATTATCCATCACTGCATGCTTGAACATTTACTGTCTTTTCCACCTGGATATTAACCACTCAATCATCCGTTTCTCAGTGCTCATCAGCACAAAAGGACAGATTGTGGCATAGCCATTGCCCACAAGCATCTGGACACAAAGATTAATTGGGTCATTGTTCCACAATATTACAAGGGAGGAGAAAGTAACACAGTCCAAAAAGTACATGAGCATAAAGAAACTCGTGAGCAAAAGAATTGTCTGAGTGGCCCTCTGTCCTGGGGATATTTTTGGTGAAAGATTAGTACTGTGAAGATGCTGGAGCTGCCTCTTATGCCCGCACAAGAGACTCACCATGTATCCACTTGAGAGAGCCATCAGCCCTATAAAGGAGATATCCTGAACATTCACCAGTGAGAGAAATATGTACCTGAACAAGTAACTAATAGGCCTCTGAGAGCAGGATTCAGTGACAAACACGAGACTGTGTGAAGTTACATTGGGGGTGGCACCAATGGAGATTAAGAAGCGAATATTCAGGAGCATATTGAAGACCCATAAAAAAATAAGGCAACATGGGTAGTGATGTGAGGATTTATGTTTGAATTTTTCCAAACAAGAGTTTCTGGGGCTTAGGGTGATAGCCTGAAAAACACTCAGCAGGCAGGTGGTAGAGATGGAGAGGGCCCTTGTCAACCTGTTTACATAGATAACTGATTTACACATGAGGTCCCTCCCCCAGTTCTCAAACCCAAAAGTGTCTGTAGCTATGAAGCCCATGGTTACCAGTAACATCCAGTGGACTAGAGCCAACTGTGCAATAGTCACGTCAAGAGGCTTGAGCCTGTGTTTGAGGAGAAATGTGACGATGTGGAACAGAAGCAGGACAGTGTTGGCTGTGATCCCGACAGTGATTTCAAAGAAAACTGTGTTTCTTATGTCAATATAACTGGAAATTTTTCTCTTTTTATTCATCTTCTTGGGGTTAAACAAACAATAAATGTCTGAGGAGAAAAACAAGAAAAATGACTTATCACAAATGTCACCACCATCATCATCTCTGCCAACACTATGCCTTCATCAGAGCACATGCATTCTTTTCCCCCTTCAGAACTCAGGTCCACCTCACAACCTCCTGGGTGCAGGAGGTATTCTCACCTCTGTCCCAGACCTTGGTGATGGTGGCTGGATTATAAATCTCACCCTGGGGCTCCCATAGCACCTCTGTGAGAAATCTGTCACATGTTACAGAATGTATTATCTTGGTTTTGCCTCAATATTTAGTTTCAGTTTCTTCCTTTCTTTCTTTCTTTCTTTCTTTCTTTCTTTCTTTCTTTCTTTCTTTCTTTCTTTCTTTCTTTCTTTCTTTCTTTTTGTACCAAAAATCAAACTCAGCACCCTGCACCTGCTAGGAAGGCACTGTGCTACTGAGTTATATCCCTGGCCCCATATTTAGTTTTCAAACTCAGCTACAATGTCTTTTTTGCCAGTGTAGTAAGAGCTCTGTTTTTTGTCTGAGTTAGGAGAGGACAGCTGTCTACATCTAAGAATAAGATCAAGCAGTAACTGTTCATGGAATAACCACACAGTGTTGTCAGTGACATCTTTATTCTGGTTTATTGCCAGACCAAATATTCATAGAGAATAAATGTTGCTCAGCATGCTCTGAAATAAAGTGGATTTAATTTACATCTATGATCTGACACTTTTCAAATACAGGATTGGTAAAGTCAGTTAACACTCCTGAGCCACCATCTTATGATCGGTAAAATGGGGACAATTATATTCCTTATTTCCTAGAGAGACAATGTGTACAAATGCACAAACATGAAGAGAGCCTTGCAGAGGAATAAAATCTCAGGTACTATTGTCATTATTACATAGTTCCTCATGCATAATACTTGAAATTCCCTACAAGGAATATGATCATGATTTGTATCTAAAATCTACCAATAAATTTTTAAAAATAAGAGAATTAATATAGTTTGTAATATATTCTACCTCTGCCCAGCCTAAAAGAGTAAGGAAAAATAAGGATCAAAATAGTAGACCCTTAACAATATCTGTGTATGGCACACGTGAAATTGAACTGACTTTTAATCTTCCATGACTGCTCAACTCACATATGTTATGAGTTATTGTTATGAAACTCAGACCATGCAAACCTAGTGGCAGACATCACATTAAAGTCATTAACTATTATTAGAAGGAAGAATTTCAAGTTTCTTTTCACTTTATCATAAGTAAGCATATGGAATGAGAATCATAAATATACTCATATTTTAACTCTATTTGGAAGATTCTTTCTTGTGCTTTTAATGCAATGAGTAGCAAGCACTTCTAATCTGAGGGTGGCTCACCACGATTCCAAATTTTTATGCTTTCCTCAAGCAAGAAAAGATATATGCAAATTATGGGTCTCAAGTGTAAATTTTATACTATAGAACTCAGTGATAACCAGCTTTTAAGTTATCTTAAAGTATTATGCAGATATTTGCTTTTTGAATTTTTTTAGAGAAGGGTAGTAACAGGACTCAAACTCATGACCTCACACTGTCCAGGAAGACACTGTGGTACTGAGCTATATATCCATGGCACCTTGAATTTTTCTTTAAATTAATTTTATTGGTACACTTTTGACATTATATATGATCACATCCATCTTAGGGACCTGATATATCTTGTTTCTTCCTTTTTTCCCCATTCTCCACCATTCCTTTCAACCCTTCTCCCACTCTCCATTTACAAAAGCTTTGTTTCCATTTCTTCTACTCTCTTTTCATTCCTTTTCTCTTCCTGACCACATTCCAACCTCCCTTGTGCCCCTTCCCTTTTGAATATTTTCTTCCTCTATCCCAAAATCTATCATCAATTTCAGTTCTTAATCACCCTTCCAGTCTCTCACAGGAGTGTACCTTAGACATCTATTTCATGTAAGTAACAAAATATATCTTGGTAATAGTTTAATAGGATAACATTAAATTGGTACATAGCAATATCAAAGTAATACTTTAAAATATTACATATATAAAAAAGAAAATATAAATCATAAACTTGTCTTCTCATCTTTTTTTGTGCAAAATTCAGACTTTGTTTTAACTCCGTTTTTCACAATATTGTCTGGCATATAAAACTGGGTTAGCATGTTTGAATCATCCATAAATTAAAGGACATACTTACATTATTTTCAGCATTGCTCAAACTACAGTCCTACAAGTATGAAGTATTGTGGTGAGAGATGTGTGCAGATGCTGTAAGTTTGCTCAACATTCAGGATGTCAGAAGGACCCCTGGATCCTTATCTGAAACTGGCAAAACCTCTTGGAACAGAAGAGAAATTTCCCTTCTCCATAGCATTAAAACAGGAAAGTGATGCACTCACAAGCATACACTTTTGTTATTAGTTCCTGTGAAACACTAGAGGGACAACAGAATAAAACCAACCATCTTGCTCTCTCCAAATCTTGTTTATCACTCACACAACTGTATTAGTGAAGCACAGTCCACATTTCTTTGCCCTCTACTTGTATGTAAATGTTTTGAAGAAATTTCTACAGCTATTTCTGTACTAATACAGTATTTGAAATACAGTTTAGAGAATGTGAATGCATGAAAACAGGCTAACAGAAATAATCTAGTAATGTCTCCGCCCAGCCATGCCTCATGCAGCTCACACCTACCAGGCTGAGAGAAGCTTAGGGAACCAGGGAATGGGACGGCAACTCCTTTCACCCACAGGATGATCTAGAAGACACTTCCCAAACAGCTCTTAGAAGTGACAATGCTGAGCCAGGACCTGCCTCACCTCAAATATCAAATGCAAAAGTCTCATTTCTCAACCCGAACTAAACCAGCTGCCCTCAGAGGGACTTTAGGTTCGTAAGAAAATTAATCACAGAAAATATTACCTGAAAGAAAGTTCTGGAACAACTCACACTCTGAAGGCCATGTTGGGTAAAAGAAAAAAAGCCCATATGGGCAGCTCACGGAAAGCAAAACAGAAATGCAGTGAGAAAGTCAAAGAGAAACCTCTCTGTTGTGAGCAGTCACCATTAGGAGCTCTTATAACTCAGTAAAAGCTGAAATACCTCTTGAAAACTGTAGCACAGTTCAGGACTTTCGTAATGCTAAGATCAAGGAAGGATTCACTTTAGGTAGGATGTTATCTTGCAGTTACTGATATTAGGGACAATCCTGAGACACATGGCATCCTTAGATTGTTCAAAAGGGGGTGAGAAAAGCTCCATAGCATGCACCTGAGCCAGAGGTCAGGCGACATCTGGAGTACAGTGGGAGGGAGGGGTCTCAGCAGACGCCCACCAAATTTGGGCATTTGTGGCCTTGTAGGTTGACAGATTATAGCGTGCTACATATTCATTTTTTCATAAGCTACATTAATATAATCTGTATATCATGCAGAATAAGACAGGTATAATAATATAATTTATGTACAGAATTTAGTTATGTGTGTTAGATGCAGAAAAAGTAGAGGTGGGCTCTTATTCCTGTACTTTACAGATACCTTTACCATAACGGGCATCAATCCTGGCCTTACCTATAATTTAAGGTAAAAAGTACAAAAAGATCTCTGAGGTGAGACTGAGCATGAAAGGAAGTATGGGTTAGATTCACAGCAATATTGATCTACTTGTTGCAACTCTTGACAAAATTCTACCTGAAAAACTACGAAGAGAAAGAAAGCTCATCAGCAGACACAGCAAGGAAGACAAAATCTTCACAAGCCAGACAGAGGGTGTATGCCAAGTGCAGAGCATTTGTGAAGTGCACAGCTCCAAGAAGGAAAAAGAAATTCAAGGAGCAATTTGAGTAAATGGGTGGCAGCTGCACGCCTTTTTTAAACATGAAGTAAACGTTATTTTCTTTGTCAATTTAAATCATGCTAGTATAGAGCTCTGGTGCTCCTTTATCCATAAGTATTTATACCATTCATATATTTATACCACTTTCAGAAAAGTCAAAGAAAAGTTTCTAATCCAAAGGATAATCCCAAGGCACCTTGTAAAAAATTTAAAACTTTCATCCCTCACATGTGTAGATAACCCCATATGAGAATCTCCAATCAACACCATTGTGAAAGACAAAGTATCTTGTGTTTTTGCAATATATGTTTCAGTCTTGTCTTCATTGTTTGCATTATAGATATACCAAGAGAAAGATAATAGTTCACGTCTATCTGTTTAAAAATATGTTGAAACAACCAGTAGGGATGGCCCTAACTCAAAAACCATAGAGATAGGGACAGACAAACATATTTGGTTCTAAATTTTTCCCCTATTCAAAGGGGTTCTGGCATATCCACTACGAATGAAAGCAGAAGAAATATTTTTAAAATGAATAAAATAGAGACATTTGTGAGACAGAGTCTTTGCTCTCAACAAATAGTGTTGGGTTATATTCCAGGAACTGTACTAGCAACAGAGAAAGAAACTCTATAATTATCACATTGTTTTAAAATTCACCACATTAATGGCTGACAACATTAATACGAAATTTGCAAAATCAATACTGGGCTAAAAGGTTTTTTGTGAGAATCCTGACACATATTTTATGGGAATGAGCTTAAATTCTCTTTCAGAGCTGATGCTTAAACAAAGCATCTCTTTACATACTAAATAATTTAAATTAAGTTTTAATAATCCAAACTACAGAGACCACTTGGTCAAAAGGTTTTAAGTGACTTATACGGATGACAGAAGAGAAAGTGAATCTATTTATTGAAAACCCATAGTAAGAGTTTGCCCATTTCATAAGGGGTGCAAATACAAATACAAAACCTTTAGACTAAAACAACAGTACCTTCCTTGAGAAATAACATAGCAAGTAAATTAACATTACCTAATTCAGTGAAATAAACAGATGCCACAAACTAAATTAGTATTTCTGATGAAAAATAACAATACTTTTATGAGTCAGTGAATTAAAAGCTGGAATCCAAAAAAAAGGTCTTTAAACTT